AATATGGGAAAATACAGGAAAATATGGGAAAATATGGAAAAATATGAGAAAATATGGGAAAATATGGGACAGCAGGGGGAAATATGGGAAAATATAGGAAAATATGGGAAAATATGGGAAAATATGAGAAAATATGGGAAAATATGGGAAAACGTGGGAAAATATGGGAAAATGTGGGAAAATATGAGAAAATATGGGAAAATATGGGAAAATATAGGAAAATATGGGAAAATATGTAAAAATATGGGAAAATATGGGAAAATATGGGAAAACATGGGAAAATATGGGAAAATATGGGACAGCAGGGGGAAATATGGTAAAATATGGTAAACTATGGGAAAATATGGGACAGCAGGGGGAAATATGGGAAAATATGGGAAAATATGGGAAAATATGAGACAGCAGGGCCCCAGGCTCCTCCTGAGCCCATCCTGCCACTGCAGGTGGCATTTAAACACAGCCTGGCATGGGTTAAACCCACATTAAACCCCACACATCGCAGTGGTGGTGTTGTTCCATGGCACAGCTGGGTCTGTGTGGGGCTGTTGAGCCTCCAGATGTTCTCCACAGCTGTCTGTGGGGTTGGAGGGTGGGTGCTGTGCTGTTTTGGGGCTGTGCACGCCTCGGGTGTGGCAGCAGGGCTACACAGGGGACAGGTCTGTGTCCCAGGGGTGGCTCGGGAGGTGCTGGGGACAAGGGGTGGGTGCAGCTCAGGATGCGCAGAGCACAAGAAATTGGAATTCTAAACACCAGCCTGTTGTTAATTTATTCACTTTCAGCATTGTTTAGCAGTTTTTGCTACTGATATATATATATATATAAGCATATATATAAAAAAATAAGAATATATATAAGAGTATATCTATAAATAAATAAGAAAATATATAAGAATTTATAAAAGAATATATACAAATAAGAATATATATAAGAATATATATAAATAAGAATATATATATAAAAATGGAATATATATAAGAACATATATAAAGAAAATATATAATAATATATATACAGGAATCTGTATGGAATCTGTATATATATATATAACTTCTACTTGTCTAATTTGAAATATACTCATCTACGTTTGAAATAATTTACCTGACAAGTTTGTTTTTTTTCCAGCATCAGGCACTCAGTTGAACTATATTTCGCTAAAACATTTTATGAAAGATACGGCAATGTATGAAAAGATATTATAATGATAATATATAAAAATTTGGTCTAATTAGGATTAGTCCCAATCCCAGTCCCAATCCCAGCCCCAATCCCAATCCCAGCCCCAAATAATCCCAATCCCAGTCCCAATCCCAATCCCAATCCCAATCCCAATCCCAATCCCAATCCCAGTACCAATCCCAGCCCCAATCCCAATCCCAATCCCAGCCCCA